GATTGAACACTGGTGCAAGAAATGGCGCATCAAAGTCAATGAATCCAAATGTAAACACATAACATTCAACTTTCGTTGTAATTCCTGTCCACCAATTTACTTCAATTCCAACCAGCTTCCCTTCTCCGACACAGTCCGGTATCTTGGTTTTCTCCTAGACAGACGACTAACGTGGAATCCGCATACTAGACTGAAAAGTCAGGAAATACCGACGTTATGGCCAGCTTTATAGACTACTTAATATAAAATTTAAACTTTCTATTGAAAACAAACTACTGATCTACAAGACAAAACTAAAACCCATCTGGACCTACGGACTAGAACTGTGGGGGACAACCAAATTTTCTAACATCAAACGCATTCAATCCTTCCAGTCTGAAGTCCTCCGTACAATAGTCGATAATCCGTTCTATGTCATAAATAAAACACTACATAATAATGACCTTAATATTCTATTTATTTTTTATCATATCCCAAAAAAAATTCTCCTAATTTCAGCAGAACCACAGTCCCTATCTAGCAACCCCCTAGCAGCAGGTTAAAACGGCATTGGCCCCGTGACCTTTTGTAAAATGTATATATTGGAGCCCTGGCAATGACCAGATTCTCTAAGTCATGAGTGTCTGTGGTTGTAGTTCCCTTACTCAATCTCTTCTGGCTTCTAATACCACTGAAGTGGTTGAGGAAGAAGCGCAGAAATCTCCTGAAGCCTCGCTTTCCCTCCAAGTGGAGGGACAAGTTTGGTTCGGAGTTCCCATGGCCGACTGTAAATAGTGTAAATAGGTATGCCAGCGTCTATAATGTTTATTTTTATTACTTTTTTTTAAGAAAATTTTAATCCTATTTTATTCATTTATTTTTATTCTATTATTACTATTATTTATATGTTCTTCCTTCACTATGATATTTTATTTTGTTCTTATTTCGCTGTATATTATTTTGAAATTACCTTATTAATTTTTTGATTTTGTAAATATGGTGTGAATGTGCTCTCTGAACTCTATTATAAATGTCCTTTGTTGAGACATATTGTAATATTTATCAATATACAAATAATGAATATTATTACAAAGGATCAAGTCAAGTATAAATGGGATATTAAGGTCATTGTGTAGAGTTTTATTGGTTACATAAAAGGAAGCATCGACTATTGTTCGAAGAACTTTAGACTGGAAGGATTGATTGCGTTTTATGTTAGAAAGTTTTGCTGTCCCCCACAGTTCGAGCCCGTAGGTCCAGATAGGTTTCAGGATTATCTTGTAGATTAATAGTTTTTTCTCAAGTGAAAGTTGATATTTTCAATTGAGTAGTCTATATAGTTGGCCATATCGCCGGTTAAGCTGTTATCTTTTAAGTCTAGTATGTGGGTTCCATGTTAGTCTTTTGTCCAGAAGGAAGCCAAGGTACCGAACTGTGTCGGAGAGGGGAAGTGGTATAGAGTTGAAATAAACTGGTGGGCACGACTTGCGCCGAAGGTTGCATTTGTTGTGTTTGGATTTGGATTCATTTACTTGAATGCGCCACTTATTACACCAGTGTTCAGTAAGAGAGAGGTGACTTTGTAGGTTAAAGGATCCTGTTTCTTGATCTGCATTGGAAGATAGGATGGCTGTGTCATCAGCGAATGTTGCCATAATGGTTTCAGGATGAATAGGAATATCAGTTGTAAAGAGAATGTAAAGGATAGGTCCCAAGAAGCTCCCTTGAGGAACTCTAGCCTGAATTGAATAACAGTTGGAAAATTCAGTTCCACAGCGGACTTAAAAGGAGCGGTCAGAGAGATAGGATTGAAGTACTAGATATAAGGACTGAGGTAGATAGATTTTAAGCTTGAATAGCCCTCCGGTGTGCCCTACCCGGTCAAATGCTTGCGCAATGTCCAGAAATGCACCCGAGCAATATTGCTTGCTTTCTAGGGCTGAGGATATATGGTCAACAACTCGGAGGCCTTGCTGGACAGTGGAATGTTGGGAACGAAATCCGAATTAGTGGGTAGGAAGGTTATGGAATTCTATAATGGGTAGGATTCTTTACAGTAGAATCTTTTCAAAGATTTTTGAAAGCATGGGAAGTAGGCTTATTGGTCAATAGGATGTTGTGTTATTAGATGGTTTACTTGGTTTCAGAAAAAGGATGATGACATAATGTTTCCATAAGAGAGGAAAGTGGGTAATTCGTAGGATACAATTGTATAAATAAGTCAGGAATGTGATTGCTTTGGATGGAATTTGCCGAAGAATCTGCGGTATCAGAAAGTCGTACCAAGGAGATTTACGGGGCGATAGTTTTTGTAAATGATGTTTGACCTCAGAAGAATTAACTGCTTTTGGTGGTAAGGAGAGGGGGATGAGTAAACAGACGAATTCTCCTACTTTTACAGTGTGGGTAGGTTGAGATTTCAGATGAGGGGTGAATGTGCAGGAGAGGTGTTTGGCGAATACCTGAGCTTTGTCTTCATCAGATGCCGCCCAGGAGCCATCACTTCGACAAAGGGGATGAAAACATGGTGGTATTTTAGGTTTTTTTTTTGTTGATATTCCAAAGGGAATCGTCATGAACGGAGAGAGGTAAGGTAGGAGTTAAAGTGCGTCTAGTGCGTTGCCATAATGATCTGACTCTGCGTTTGATATGGATAAGGTCGAGGAGGTGTTGAGGTAAGTTATTTTTTTAAAGGATTTTGGAGAGTGATTTGAGGAGGAAGCAGTCCAGGCTGCTTGTTGACTCATGGTGGTAAATGAATGCACGGCAGTGTCAAGGTCTTCTGCGGTTTTGAGGTTTATTCTGAGGTCAGTTTGATCGGAAAGGATTTGATGAAAGAGTTTCCAGTTGACTGGACCTCTGATGAAGGATGGTGGGGAGGGTTTAGGAATAGGAGCTAGTGATACTTGGACTATTAAAGGACTTTGGTCTGAGGAAAGCTCGTCAAGAGGGGCAGCGGAATGGTTGAGAGCACCTAAACCATTGTGGATGAAGAAATCAAGGATATCAGGATTGCGGTTAGGATCAGTGGGCCAGTAGGTAGGTAAGTTAGGAGGAAGGAAGCAGAAACGTTGGAAATTCAGTGCAGACAGCAATGTTCTACCACGAGAGTTCGTGGTTCTTGAACTCCACTGTTGATGCTTTGAGTTAAAGTCTGCACCCAGGATGAAATGATGTCCTAAGGAATTGAGGAGGGAACTAAATTGGGCATTGGAGATGGATTGAACATGAGAGCAATACGCTGATGTAACGGTAATAGGAAAGGAGAAGGTTTTGAATATGATAGCAGTGGATTGTAGGATATCGTGGGTTGGTGTTGGAAGTAGGTGATGAGAGAGAGCTTGGTGTACAAGGACAGCAGTATCGGCATGTGCCCTACCGTCAGGATGGTCAGTACGATTTTTAAGTACTGTGTGATTTTTAAACTCTGTTTTTTGGTCAGTCGAGTTTCAGTAAAGAAAGCTACATCAACGTTCTTGTCTAGTAGTAGAGCTGTTAGTTCGTCAGTGTGGTTTCTAACACCACTCGCATTCCAAAGGAGAATGGATAAGGATTTGATGGGATTCAATTAAGGATTATTTAAAGGGGATGAAGTGAGATGAGATACTAGATTTGTGAGGAGTGATATCAGTGGGGTAACAAGTGATTTGATTTCGGTAAGGAAAAATGCCAACTAGTAAGGTCTGTGGCATGCGATGGAGGAGGAATATGAGGAATTTGATGTTGATGAGAGTTTTGTTCATTAGGAGGGACAGGGTGTTGACGTTGGGATTGGGGTCGCTCTTGCGGCAGGTCCTCATATTTATCAGTCTGGTCTCTACTCCCAAGTAGCTCAGAGAAGGAAACTTTAGTATCCACTTTTTCAGCAGGTCCTCTTCTGGGTTGGGAAGTTTCTTATTGTTTTCGAGATTTGTAAAATTGATTTTTGATATGTTTATAGATCTCACAGCCCTTGTATTTGGCAGGATGTCCTTAGAGACATAGAGCACATACTGCGGGTGCTGATTTTGATTTCCTGCATTCGCCGGACTTGTGTGTCTGTCTGCATTTCACACATCTCGGTATTTGATGGCAGTAGGCCTTGGTGTGGCCATATGCCTGACAGTTGTGGCACTGGACAATTTCTCTCTTCGTGTATGGTTTTCCAACCTTAACCGTTGTGTAATACAATCTTTTAATTTCGTATATTTTATCCTGCTGAGCGTTCTAAGTCAATAAAAATAGTGTTAACTCCACTGCGTTAATTTATTTTATTTTTACAGTTAAAAACGCCACAGCGTTAATTAATTTTATTTTACACTTAACTAGTTTGATTATTTGTTGATTTGTTTTATTTTAGCAAAGTGAAATCAATTGATAATATGTATATTTATGTATAAGATATGTGTATATTAAGTATGATAGGCCCTTAGCTTATATTGTTTATATTAAATAGATCAATAATTTATACTTGGACTACTTTGTTATGGATTGTAGCACTAGCTATAAACAAGTGCTAGGTTCAAATCATAAGGCGGTAGAATTGACAATAGACAGTCTGACTCCGCCCGTCACTGAGCTGAGTACTGCCAACTTCAACACTGCCCACTGCAGTTCTACTGTAAAGAGACGTACTTCTCTCGTCGTGCTTGCCGCTGCCCATTTACAGTTCGTTTTGAGCACGCTCATTGAAGAATTTCAATTGGTTTCTGCATAGAGACAGAGGTTTACGAACGTACTGCTTCGTCCACGTGACGTTGTACAATCTAATCATTTGTTTTATATATATATATATATATTGTAATATTTTTATTTTTTAAAAATATTTTTATTTATTTCTCTGTCTGTCTGTCTGTTATTGCCGACGTTTGTCTTTTAAAATCTGAAATCTGTCCTTCTAACCTTTAATATTTCTGTTAGTCAATTAACCTGGTATTCGTGTATCTATTTAAGTTTGTAATAATGGGGTGTATAAGCTTAGATAGGATGAGAAGGATAAGGTATATAAGGTAAGACCGCCAAAAATGATAGGGGGACAACCCCTACACATCCAGGGCTCTGCAACCGAGGAGGCAATCCCCTGACATTGCGAGGATAGGATAAGGTAAGACCGCCAAGAATGATAGGGGGACAACCCCTACACATCCAGGGCTCTGCAACCGAGGAGGCAATCCCCTGACGTTGCGAGGATAGGATAAGGTAAGACCGCCAAGAATGATAGGGGGACAACCCCTACACATCCAGGGCTCTGCAACCGAGGAGGCAATCCCCTGACGTTGCGAGGATAGGATAAGGTAAGACCGCCAAGAATGATAGGGGGACAACCCCTACACATCCAGGGCTCTGCAACCGAGGAGGCAATCCCCTGACGTTGCGAGGATAGGATAAGGTAAGACCGCCAAGAATGATAGGGGGACAACCCCTACACATCCAGGGCTCTGCAACCGAGGAGGCAATCCCCTGACGTTGCGAGGATAGGATAAGGTAAGACCGCCAAGAATGATAGGGGGACAACCCCTACACATCCAGGGCTCTGCAACCGAGGAGGCAATCCCCTGACGTTGCGAGGATAGGATAAGGTAAGACCGCCAAGAATGATAGGGGGACAACCCCTACACATCCAGGGCTCTGCAACCGAGGAGGCAATCCCCTGACGTTGCGAGGATAGGATAAGGTAAGACCGCCAAGAATGATAGGGGGACAACCCCTACACATCCAGGGCTCTGCAACCGAGGAGGCAATCCCCTGACGTTGCGAGGATAGGATAAGGTAAGACCGCCAAGAATGATAGGGGGACAACCCCTACACATCCAGGGCTCTGCAACCGAGGAGGCAATCCCCTGACATTGCGAGGATAGGTAACCCTACACTCCCAGGGACAACCTGGAAGATGCAAGGGGGACTGTAGGAAAACAAGGGCCAACCAAGTTATTCCTACGAAAGGAGAGAGGAGGTAGGTTAGGAGAGAAGAGAGAAGGAGGAAGGTAAAACCAAAAAATAACACATTGGTCTGGTTTCAAACTGTCAGACAGAGAGATACCAGGAGCCTATGTGAGAAGGTAGTGACTCGGGAGAGAGTGCCTGCCCTAGGGGCCAGGCTGCTATTTACACTAATAGTGAGCCCTCAGACCTGTGAGAGACAACACTAGTAACAATTATTTTAATTAGGCCCTGAGATCTCTCTAAGTCCAAACTCCTTTTATTTTTATTTAGTTATAGTACATGAATACTTATTTTAAAAATATTACAAACATTAGTTATTTACAAAATCAGTAATTATAAAAAGAAATAATAAATAGCTTCTAAATGAGATTCATAGTTCACTAGGAAATTAACAGGTTGCGCTACTAAAATTATTAATCATTATTAGAAAAAACAATGACTTGCATAAATTAATTAAATAGTTCATTAGAACAACGCCTAGAGGGCGCCACGCGCAACCTCCAAAACACTATACCACTAGTTATTTACTCTTCAACCTTTGACAGAGAAGGACCTCCTGTCCGTTAGCTCTAATACATCGTACCTTTTAATCTTCATCGCTAGTTAAATGTTATTATTGTTTTTACAATTAAATAATAATAATAATAATAAGGCTTAGCGAACCCGAAGGTTCGATGCCGACACCACCAATCGCTTGTTACACACCTCCCTCCACCGTTCGCCGTCCAAACCCAGTCCCTTCAGATCAGCTTTAATGCAATCTTCCCACCTTCGCTTCGGTCTACCCCTCCGACGCTTACCATTCGGCACAGCAAATATTAACCTTTTAGGAATTCTCTCGTTACTAAGCCCAACAATTTTACAAGCCCATTTGATTCGCCGCGATGAAATTACCTCAATTATATTACCCGGATATAGCTCACGCAATTCGGCGTTGTGTAACCGTCTGAACTCTCCGGTTAACTCATCCTTCTTCGGTCCGAATATTCTACGCAATACTTTATTTTCAAAAACCTTAAGACGCTGCTCATCCCTTAATGTAAGCGGCCAAGTTTCGCATCCATAAAGAACTGTAGGCAAGATAATTGTTTTATAGATTCTAATTTTTAAGTTTCGGGACAAGAGGCGCGAACTGAGTAGTTTTGTCACAGAAAAATAACAAGCATTCCCCGCCTTCAGTCTAACTTTAATCTCTTCTTCAATTTCGTTTTTTCTAGTTATCGTAGAACCTAGATACCTAAATTTATCTACCTGTTCAAACATATTACCATCTATATCGATATCACCAGTAGTATCGCCATTTTTGCAGCTAACCATATATTTTGTTTTATCCACGTTTATTTCGAGTCCTAGTTCTTTACCGGCTTTCATTAACGTTGTCGTATTTAGTTTTATAGTTTCAACGTCTTCGCTTAACAGTACCAGATCATCAGCATAGCCCAGCACGGATGTTGTCCCGCCCAGATCCAACCCTTTCTCGGTACGCATTACCTCCCTAATGGCATGTTCTAATGCCAAATTGAACAGGACAGGCGAAAGAGAATCCCCCTGTTTTAAGCCCGAACGAACCTCAAATTTTTCGGACAAATTATTACCGATTCTGACTTTATTGAGTGTCTCCGTCAAGCACATCCTGACTAGATTTACTAGTTTTTTTGGAATTCCCTGCTCGATTAGAATATTATACAGTTTCTGGCGGTCAATAGAATCGTAAGCCTTTTTAAAATCTATATACAGCTGGTGAACAATACCGTTATACTCCAATTTTTTCTCTAATATTTGCCGTAAAGAAAATATTTGATCAATAGTCGAACGATTCCGTCTAAATCCGCATTGGTAGTCTCCGATAATTTCCTCGGCGTATTCCGTGATTCGACTGGTTAAGATTACAGTGAATATTTTATAACATACCGGAAGGAGTGAAATTCCTCGATAGTTATTACAATCCGTCCTCGGACCCTTTTTGTGAATCGGAATAAGAATAGATTCTTTCCATTCTTCAGGTAATTTCTCGTTCACCCAGATCTTTTCAACCAACCGATGTATTTTAGAAACTCCAGCTTCCCCGCATGCCTTAATTAGTTCAGTAGGAATATTATCGATTCCCGCTGCTTTATATGATTTTAATTTACCGATAGCTACTTCAACTTCCTCTTTACTTGGTCCTTCTATCAACGGTTCAGCACTCTGGTACTCAGAAGGAGGACACAGATCATAATTTCCCGTATTTAAAATATTGTCAAAGTGGTCCTTAAACTTATTCAATATGTCAACCGGATCGGTCAGAATATTGTTATTATCATCCCTAATTCCAGACGTTACGGGACCTACATATTTACGTGATCTGTTTATACCTTTGTACATGTCTCTTACGTTATTTTGGATTCTATTAGTTTCTATTTCAATTATTTTATTTTTAAGATACTCCCTTTTTTTATTTTTGAGCAATTTTGTCGTTTCGTTCTTTGAGATTCGGAAGTATTCCAGATTGTCTTCGCTAGGATTATTTAGAGCTTTTAATTTAGCGGCTTTCCTTTTTTCGCACATGTTTAAGCAATCTTCATCAAACCACGGTTTGTTATTCTTATTTTCCTTTTTTCCTAGACACGAGTTACCGACCGCTTTAATATTATCCCTGATCTCTACCCATAACTTGTCAATATCCTCGTGGTCCTCGTCAGGAAGCTCTAAAGCTTCAAACCTATTCTTAACATCTAGCTCGAATTGGTTTCTAATTGATGGATTTTTTAATTTTTCCAAATTAAAATTCTCAAAATCGAAACGGTTTTCTTTTCTCTTTTTTATATTAAGTTTTTGTCGAAGTTTCGCGATTACTAATTCATGATCCGACCCACATTCTGCTCCGCGATAAGACCGTACATTGATTATACTGCTTTGCCAGCTGTGTTGTATCAAGACATGATCGATTTGATTTCGTGTTTGCGAATCCGGCGATGTCCAAGTATATTTATGAATATCCTTACGTTTAAACGTCGTACTTTTAATTACCAGGTTTTTCGAGATGGCAAAGTTTATCAGACGGATCCCATTATCATTACTATATTCGTGCAAACTTTCTTTACCAATCGTCTGAATATAAACTTCTTCCCTTCCTACCTTTGCGTTTGCGTCACCTACAATTATTTTCATGTAGTTTCGCGGTAGTTTATCATAAACCCATTCGAGTTTATCGTAAAATTCACTTTTGACTTCATCGTCACTGTCTTCGGTTGGACAATGTATGTTTATTAATGCGATTTTAAACCAACGTCCCTGAAATGTAGCTACCGAAATTCTATCACTAAAGAATTGTACGTCCCTCAAAGCGGATAGTAATCTACTCCTAATTAGAAACCCGGTACCTAAACAATGATTCCCGCTTCCTCCGTACCAAATAGTGTACTTTCCTTCCCTCATCGAGCCCTCCCCTGGCCAGCGAACCTCTTGCAGAGCCACGACATCCAAATTGTACCCATTTACCTCATTCGCGACCGATTTTAGCCCCCCTGCTGTGTTTAAACTCCTTACGTTCCACGTACCAATATTTAAATCCCTATATTTCAACTTGCGGCATGAATCCCCTAAAGCAGTCCCCACCCGGAGACTCGAACGGGGGACTAGTTTACCTCCGGATAATGAGCGTTTTACCTTAGGGAGATCCATGACTTTTTGTGGTGTTTGGTGAACTAAAGATATGTGAGTAGGGCGTTCAATCCTACGTCACACCCTCCAGCAAGTCTGGTGGGCCCCTACCTCCAGCAAGTCTGGAGGTCCCCTCCCTCCAGCAAGTCTGGAGGGCCCCTCTCATTGTTGGTCAGCGAGTCCATCGGACTTAGCCGGGAGGAACTTTCAAGGAATTTCCACCGACCATCCCCACATCCGCCACCCGTGGGACGCTCCCCATACGCGGTAATGAGCCCGCGCGAGGTTTTACAAGTAATAAGTAACAACAAGTAATAGTAAGGTTTTTTTTACAATTAAATCACAACTAAAATTAATACAATATCTAGAAATAAATTAAATTTATAAATATATTACTTATAAATGTTCCTTTTCATACAGTTCAAAAAAAATAAAAGAACAAAACATGAACATGAGTTCTATTAACAATTACAATTTATAAAGGCCCTAATAAAATATGTTACATTTACCCTTTCCTGTGTTTAAAAAAAAATGATTATTAAACATTTTTTTTTTTTTTTTTTTTTTTATAATTGTCAAATTAAAAAATTCAGTTTTATAATCGTTAAAATTATTACAAGTTATTATTTACTTTTTCATCAAACATTCTTTTAAACAAGTATAAAATTAGTTAACAATAGTTTTCAGTTACAAAAGTCGCTATTAAAAAAAAATCATATCTTTTATCTCACAAGTAAGCAGTGTGTTTTATTACAAAGATCATTAGACACGAAAAATTTCCTTAAAAAAGTCCTTTTGGTCTGTACCCGATTGAGACTATCGACTTTATCATAGTCATTTTATTTTGACTTTACCGCGGAGATAGCTTCTAGGGTCTTCTAGTTCTTCTTGGATTATTCTGCCTTCGTCTTTGATGGCGTGGTTATGTAGAATCACATCCGTAGTTATTTTCTCCCTCATAGGCTTAGACCATCTAGTAGTCGTCTCTGCTACAGTGTTAGGTACTGGTAGTTTCTCTAGTCCAGTGTGCTCCAACTCTATTTTACGTGCTTCCTGGCTTAAACTGACTGTTTTATAGCCTAAATTTACTAAGGCTTGGATCTTCTTATGATTTCGTGTTGTTTCTAATTTTGGACACTCATATTCTTCAATAGTTGGTTCTTCATTTTCTGTGATGGGTTGAGAAGGTTCGGTAGGTAAAGATATAGTTTGAATGTTGTTTACC